ATCTTCTTTGCTTGACTTTTTGCTAATTTGCTGATTAGAAATAACTGGATGATTCTGGAAAATGTCCCAAAGAACTTCCATATTTTTACAACATATGGAAAATACTGGCTATGTACAAAATTGCTATCCATTACAGCCAGTAAGTAATTGTACTCCAAAGAAGCATCTCCTCCTCTCCTCTCCTCTCCTCTCCTCTCCTCTCCCCCCTCATGATTTAATTATCTCCAAATAAATATTTTTATATTTCATTTATATGCACGCACCGACAGCAAACACACACCCATATGTATTCTCTGTAAATTATGATGCTTCATCCTGTTAAATTTCAACCAAATCCCAATCATTGTCTAAATTTAATTCTTTTCCCACCATTTTGTTTAGTGAAATCACTAAATTGATGTGTTGTAATCAATTCTTTTAGTGCATTTATTTAATCTGCAATGTTTAGTTTAATGTTTGATTTATTATAATCACCTTTGTATAATGGTCTTATACAGTATCTGCTTTTTATATATTTAAAATATGTGTCAATAAAGAATTAAATGTTGAAAAAAGTATGTGAACTTTTTAAATTAACAGTGCATTGAGGTTCATGGAGTTAAGAAACAGATTGCCAGTCTCAATTTGAGGAAACAGAATCACAATCTGGGGAAATATATGTGCTGATAAGAACAAATCCCAGACTATTGAGGAAAGCATATCTAAAGGGATGCCTTCATCTTTGATCCATGCAGAGATTTTGAATACCTATCATGATTAGTCAGACAGTATTTACTAGATATGATGCCCCTCAGAAGTGATCCTCAGTCTTTCAAATCTCGTCGTGATATATCAAAGAGGATGTTTTAAGCCTTTTGGGATCTCAAAACACCCATGTTGCAATCAAAGCAGCTATTTTTGAATTTGAAGCAGGATGTTTCTTACTTGAAATGGGGCATTTTGAATTTCAGATGGCTTGATTCAACACATTTTGTGCATTCTTCTTCGCTTCCAGCACACCTGCTCTAGCTTTAAGGATGCTTTGAAGTCTTTTCTATTAATAGCTGCATCAATATCATAGCTTTCGACTTTGTTGCAGGTTTATAAAGTAAAAAATGATGCGATTTCCTCTGAAAGTGTACTTATTGCTCACTTCATTTTGTATTTCACTCCAGAAAGCTTAAGATACCTCACGTAAAATGATCAAAATTGCATTTCCTCATTAACAGGTGGATAGAATTTCCCAAATTGGGACAAACCAAGATTTGTTTTTCAGGTAAAAGAAACCATGTTTCCCGAGGCATACTAGAGGATTTTAGATTGGTGCACCTCCTAGTTCACTTAACTTGTTCAGGGTTAGCTAATGCTGGTAGAACTGTCACAGTTAAATAAGACCTATTGTAGTATTTCTGAGTTCCAATTTAATTTAAATAATAAATAATTATTAATAATAATTAATTAATAATAATTAATTTAAGCGGCTCTTTACATTGGTCAGTAAGTTTGTCCTGTTAGAGAACAAGATGTTTCAGGGTCCCAAATTTTCATAAAAGTTCACGGAATTAGTCTTTTCAAGCATCTAGCAATATTAATAATTTTAGACTAGAGCCTTTTCATTTCACAAGGGTAGAATTAGGTGACTTGGATAAATGGAAAGATTGTGTGTCATAAAAGAAATTGCACCTGAGAGACTTGTCAAGTAAATATTATTTAGCAAAGAAGGATTGAGAATGATTGTACAATCTTAGTCATAAATCATAAATTTATTTTGTCAAGCATATATAAGATAACAGGTAAAAGTATAAACATAATTTGAATACATGAAAAGAGTAAGTAAAAAGGAATATTAGGACAGGGACGGTAGGCACACTGGTGCACTTATGCACGCCCCTTACAGACCTCTTAGGAATGGGGTGAGGTCAACAGTAGACAGTTTAAGGTTAAAGTTTTGGGGGTTTGGGGAAGAAACTACAGAGTCAGGTAGTGCATTCCAGGCATTGACCACTCTGTTACTGAAGTCATATTTTCTGCAATCGAGTTTGGAACGGTTTACCTTAAGTTTGTATCTATTATTAGGTCATGTATTGTTGTGGTTGAAGCTGAAGTAGTCATTGACAGGAAGGACATTGTGGCAGATAATTTTATGTACTATGCTTAGGGCGTAGTTCTAAATTGTCTAATCTTTTAATTTTAATCTCTTCTTAAAAACTTCTAGTGTTGGAGCATTCACAACTTCTGGAGGCAAGTTGTTCCACTGATAAATTATTCTGTCAGAAAATTTCTCCTTAGTTCTAGGTTGCTTCTCTCCTTGATTAGTTTCCACCCATTGTTTCTTGTCCGGCCTTCAGGTGCTTTGCTTGACTCCTTCTTCTTTGTGGCAGCCCCTTAGACATTGGAACACTGCTATCATGTCATCCCTAGTCCTTCTTTTCATCAGACTAGACATACTCAGTTCCAGCAACTGTTCTTTATATGTTTTAGCCTCCAGTCCCCTAATCATCTTTGTTGCTCTTCTCTGCACTGAGTCTCAACATCTTTTTTACATCGTGGTGACCAAAACTGGATGCAGTGTGGCCTTACCAAAGTATTATAAAGTGGTACTGACACTTCACGTGAACTTGATTCTATCCCTCTGTTAATGATTGTGATATAAACACTGAGCTTGCTCATTGATTCTTAATTGTTTAACAGTGAGCTTCATTTGCAAGAAGCTGAATGGGGTACAAAGTTTATTAAAACAATATGCAATATAATAAAAACACTGAAGCTGCATCATTAAAATAAAAATAGAGAAAGTAGCAAATACTGTACCTATGGTTACATAGGTACATGGCATAGATGGACTTCCATCGCCTCATTTTTTACATGCCCTATTTATTCTTTCAGCGTGGAGAAACACGTATTCAGCTGATCATTTCTATTGAGTATTTTAAACCAAATGTTAAAGTTTTTAATTTAAAGATCTTTGTGTCTTGAATCCAGTATTGGGAATTGCTTCAGTCCATTAGCATAGACATAAGTTATTGCCTTGCAAAATAGATGAGAGCTCATAAACCATAGTTTAAAAATTATGAATACAGAAAACTGCTTTCCAGCATGTCAAGTTACATATGATTGACACATATTCCTTATAAAGATATTTTTAGCATAATTTGTTGTTTGAGTCTCTGCTAAGCAAAACGTGGCTAAGTGCAGTGTATGACTCCAGTTGTTATATTTGATTTTAGAAAGATCCCTCTTTTAATTTTAGAGTCTCTGCTAAAACCTGTTCACATTTGCTATCTGGTTGGGGTTGGTTTTTTTTTTTTTTTTGGTAAAACACAAGTAGCTAATCTGGAAAAGTGAGGGATAGATAGAACCTGAGACCTTCTGCAAATCATCTTACGCTTTCCCACTGAGCAAAGGTTGCAGCTGGGACTGACCGCTTGCTAGAGATTGGAGCATCTCTTCTAGCTTCCCATGATTCATTTTGTAGGTAACCAAATCCCCATTTTGTGTTTCTGCTAGGCTAGGATGGCATGGCATGGGAGATGAACAGATGGACCCCGCTCTCTTGGTTCAGCATACAAAGGTAAACCAGGAGGACTCCTTGTGTCTGGGTGCCTCCTCCTCTTTGTCATTTGGGATATGGAAAGAGGTCTTATTTTTTTTATACTTGTATTAAAAGTTCTAAAAAAGGAGATTAAAAACTAATACAAATTAATATAACATAAAAAAGTAAAAAGAAAATGAAATCAAAGAGAAAGTTAAAAATGCAAGAAAGGAAAAATCAAACTAGAAGAGAAAGAAAACAGACACAAAGAAGTAACCACGAATCTTCATTACAGCAGTTACAAGTACAATGATAAATTTAACCTCTTTCTCTAAAGTTACAGAAGTATTCTTTATATAATCTATCCTGTCTAATAATCAAAACTGTAAATCATCTTTTTCTGTGTTCTGCAAGAAGTCCATAAGGGGTTTGCAGTCAACAATAAATGTAGACATTATCTTTTTTCTAATTGATAGAAGTTTTATTTTCAATACCTGAATATGCAACCTGACCCCAAGCCCTGGAAGCAACCCCTGGAGCTATAGCTATAGCCACCCCTCCAACAATTACTATTGAACTACACTTTGGCATGGGAAAGAAGAGGGAACATTATTCACATTATGTGGATTTTGTAATTACATGAAATAGGAACTAAAATGAAAGCTAGATTCAGTTGAATCAGGGGTGAAATCCAGCAGGTTCTGACAGGTTTTGGAGAACCGGTAGCGGAAATTTTGAGTAGTTCGGAGAACTGGCAAATACCACCTCTGACTGGCCCCAGAATGGGGTGGGAATGGAGATTTTGCAATATCCTTCCCCAGGAATGGGAGGGAATGGGGATTTTGTAGCATCCTTCCCCTGTCACACCCACCAAGCCACACCCACAGAACCGGTAGTAAAAAAATTTGGATTTCACCACTGAGTTGAATTTAGTTTTTGTTCTGATCTTACTCACAGAGACCTACTTTGTGTAGAATGTTCCAACGTGCCATGTAAGGACCAAGTTCCTCCCTCTTTCAATTAGGCATGACTACCCTAAAACCATATACTGCCCTTGACTAAATATGCAGATCTTTTCCAAGGAACCAATCCAAATGTTTTGTATGTGTGATCCTTCCACTATATGAGTCTGTTCTGTTTGGAAGAAAGGCGAAAAAAAGGGAAGGTAAGATAGAGGAGGAAAATAGATGAGATGAAAAGAAAAGCAAGTTGGGGGCCTTTATCCATTTTTGGCTCTGCATTACAGCTTCATTACAGCATTAGCTGTAAAATGTGGCTCCCCAATGAATTATTCTTGTGCAAATTGACCAAAAACAGTGTTGCTTTGTCACATACTAAGTTTCATTGGGGAAAGAGGACATGCCCATCATTTTCTGCGCAACTTTTTAGAATCCACTGCCTCTGTTGAATCTCTGCCTTCTGCCTTTGTAGGTACCAATCCAGGAATCTCTCCTGTTTCATTCTGATGATGAGTTGAATGACTTGGCTACAAAAAATTTTTTGAGTATGTAATGGGTCCATTAATGAATCAATGAGAAGTGATGGGTAGTCTAAGAGTCGTGGTTAGGATGCTAATTCTGCTGACTGTCGGCTGCCGGCAATTTGATTCTCACCGGCTCAAGGCTGATTCAGCTTTCCATCAAGGGTGGGTTCTACTTACCTTACTACCGGTTCACAATGCATGCGCAGAAGCGTTCTGATAACATCAGGGTCAGTGGGCGGAGCCTCCCGCCGGTTTTACTACCGGTTCTATAAAACCGGTGCGAACCAGGGGCAACCCACCACTGCTTTCCATCCTTCCAAGGTCAGTAAAATGAGGACCCAGATTGTTGGGGAAAATATGCTGACTCTGTAAACCGCTTAGAGAGGCCTGTAGAGCCCTGTGAAGCGGTATCTATGTCTAAGTGATATTGCTATGGTTAGTGCTATTGACACAGCACTGATTAAACTTTTATTTATTTAGCTATGGATTCAGGAAAGGTACTGAGAATATTTCTACTTTTACTAGTTCTCCGAAAATCAACTATCAGGACTATATTTTTGCTAGGACAACTCCATATTTGTTGCTTTTGAATTTTTCAAAACTTTTCCAGTTGGCAATGTGATAAATAAAAGAAGAATGATGGGGACAGGAGCAGAGGTGGGTTTCAGCAGGTTCTGACCAGTTCTGGAGAACCGGTAGTGGACATTTTGAGTAGTTTGGAGAACCGGTAGTAAAAATTCTGACTGGCCCTGCCCCATCTATTCTCTGCTTCCCAAATCCCAGCTGATCGGGAGGAAATGGGGATTTTGCAATAACCTTCCCCTGGATTGGGGAGGGAATGGTGATTTTACAGTATCCTTCCCCTGCCATGCCCACCAAGCCACGCCCACCAAGCCACACCACACCCACCAAGCCATGCCCACAAAACCGGTAGTAAAATAATTTGAAACCCACCATTGGGCAGGAGAGAATGGATTAGTAGTTAGTCATCATCTTAAAATGAAATGTGAGAAGCGGATGCAATCAAATACTTATTTTGGACACTCAACCTGTAAAAAAGGGTTTGGTTATGCATAGACATTTTAAACGCTGTTGGAATAAGAAACCTTTTTTAAATGCAATGCTTGATCCCCTCCCCATTTAAAAATATTTGCGTATTCTTTAGCAAGAATCAGGAATATTTTAGACCCCAGGCAGCACTGCAAGTTCTTATGAGATGGTGCTTATGCAAGAACTTGTACAAGAACAGTAAAATCACACTGCATTCGGGTCGATAGTTTTATTGTATTGTATTGTATATAATTGGGGATCAACAGATGTTCACAAAAGTTATATTGCTAATTCTTATTCTGAATCATCCTCTTTAGAAAAATCACACAAATTCACTGGCAGTTTCTTTTTCCTAAGTGGAAGATAAATTTAGATATATTGTACTGTGTTTGAGGTGATGATAATACTGATCAAAACAGAGGCCCCTGAATCTTCTCTTAGGAATCAATGCCATAACTCTATATTTTACTTTTCCAGCTAAGATTAATGCTGATTTCTTATTTTGAAGCTCTGATGAGGTTCATGGGAGACCAGCCAGGCCTCAAAAAACAAGATAAAATGGATTATATCTATGATATCCTTCAGGTATGTAGCTCTTGTGGTGGATTTGTGTAGATAACAGTGACTTAATGAGACCTGGAAGGTCATCAGATTTCTACTGAAGGGGCATTGATGGCCTTGAAAGGAGATTGATTTTGAGATGCTTATTTTCCCTTTCTATTCTCCTTAGATAACTCTATGAACTCTTACCTTACCTTAAATTAAATTATGCACAGTTTAAGAATTTGCAAAATACCAGTCATAGATCAAAGATATCAAAAGGGAGCAAGACATTACAGCTGACAATCAAAATAAAGTAGGGAATGGGAAGAGGGAAAGGAAGCAAAAATGTTAGGAAAGGAAAGACCGCAAGTTCTCAGAGTCATTTCAAAATATGAGCTTTTATCACTAATGGGTTGATATGTACTTTGCACTAATGGGTTGATATGTAGTTTGGTTTATTCCAAACTATGGTAAACTAATCCTGTTGCCTTGAGACCTTTTTGTTAAACTTTTGAAAAGATCTGAGTTCAGCAGTAAATTCATTCCTGATTTCTTTTCTGTGGTACACATAACTTGCCTTTTTGGCCTCCAAATTCTGCTTGCTAGAGCTGTAATGGCTAAATGGAATAAGAAGTCCCAGTTTCTGGGTTCTTCATCAGAATCAAAGTTTTTTTTCATATACTCCTATCAACCACAATGCAGATTATCATGAGATATTGACCTCAATCTGACCTCAGAGTCCAATGAAAGTGCCAGATAACACTCCAACCTTGGGAGTTCAGGATCGCAAAGTACAATTAGGGACCATTGCAGAAAAATTTTATATTCCGGTGTTTCTCAGATCAGGGATAATCCTAATGCCTCCCATGTGGCCTGCAAGAAAAGAGGAAACTAAATTCTTTTTTTCCCCCTGGGTTTTTACAGAGGTGCAAAGATAAGAAGACTGTGCATGATGAGGTTTACTGCCAGGTTATCAAGCAGATCACCGGGAATCCTAATCTGTAAGCATCAAAGAATGTAACACTGATTCTTCACACCTTGCATGGGTTGCTGTTTGGTTCCTGACAAATGTTTAAAGTGTTGGTTTTAACTTATAAAAACCCTGTACTGTGTGGCACATGGTCACCTGCAGGAGTATCTCCTCCTATTGCTATCAGCCAGGGGTGGGATTCTATCGGTTCGGACCGGTTCGAGAGAACCAGTATCTCCAACAATCAGCTGGGAGTGAACCGGTTCGCCCTGACATTCAGATGGGTCCACTCGCCCGCCTGCACTATTTTCTGATCTTTATCTTCTCAGCTGATTCGTGTGGTAGAGCAGATTGCCATGCAAATCAGCTGTATTACTCCTCCGAAGAAACCAGGAAGTGAAGATTTCTTGAAAGTGTGCACGAGCGCGCAGCGATCACCGAACCGGTTGTTAAACCGGGAGGATCCCACTACTACTATCAGCCCAAAGTACTGGTTCATTTAATAAGGAACTCCTCATTGCTCCACACTACCAAGTGGCCACAGGAACAAAAATCAGAATGTGCTCCTTCTCCATGGTGGTACCAGCACTCTCCGTAGACTCCAAAGGAATGTCAGAGTAGCCCTCCTTGTTGGCTCTGGAAAAAAAATGTTAAAAAGATAACAGTTATCAGAGAATGTATTAACTGAGTTTATGCACCAGGCCATATTCTATTCCATGTATTTATTTTTGTGGTATTTTATTTTGGTAATGTAGGGTCTTTGGGTTGGGGTTTGGTTTAGGTTTTAATTAGTGTGATTTTATCACACAGTACATTTTTAATCATAACATGGTATTTTTAATATGTAGTATACACTGTAAGTGATGTAAGCTGTGGAGAGTTGTTGGATTCCAATGGGATATAAAGACAATAAATAAATAAATAAACAAACAAACAAGGAAAGGAAAAAAGTGAAGATAGGAGCAGTGACACATTGGTTTGATGGACTCTGTTTTGGGAATTTACAGATAGTTTATTTTTCTGTTACGTTGTTATATTTTTAGTTCACATTTTCTTTTATTCTTACAAAGTTCTACAGAGGACACTAGGCTAAACAGTGATAGGATAAAAATGGGTTAAATATGGGTTGTCCTAGTTTTAACTTCAAGAACACAATTAGGGTATATTATCTCATAGGTTTCTTTTTAAAGATACCACACCGATCCTGATCTTGGGTTTATGTTTTTATTTAGTGCCATCAAAGATCATCAATCTTTTGATGATCATAGCCTCACTTCATTATTATTATTATTATTTTGGAAGGTATTATATAGTGGTGGGGTTCATTGGTATTTTTAAAATTGTGATGTGATTATTTGGAGATTTACATAGCTGTTTTCACATTTCCTACTTCAGAATTCCTTTTTTGTACTTCTTCATTTCCCACCTTCTTCTCATTTATTTCTCCTCAGTGTTTTATCTTTTTTCTTTTCCCCTTTTAGTCAATAGGAAATCTTTTCATTTGTGATCTCTGAGACGTGCTCAAAGTCTGTCACAGTTCTTTCTTTGTTCCAGGGACAGTTGTCACCATGGCTGGCAACTCCTCAGCCTTTTGACTGGATACTTCCTCCCATCCAATACCTTGAGGCCTTACGTCACTGAGTTTTTGCAGCAGATCTGCTGTGATAGTAACCACCCCTGCTCAGGTACATGACCTTTTCTCCTCCTATTCATTAGTTGTGAAGAATCTGTGGTGGGATTTTCCAGGCTCACAGTCTATCCACCATCACCTTCATTTCTGTATGTTCCTTAGAGTCCTTTTAATAGTCACAAGTCAACAGCCAACCCTCAGTCGTATGAGGGGAAGGTAGGTGGGGAACTCATGCATGAGTTCCACCACCTAATTCTATTTTAGCAGAAGTCTTTTTAAATGTCAGTCACACTTCCTACATCGCATGCTGAACCTTGTGTGTGTTTTTTTAATCCCCAGAAATAGCCAAGGATTGCCAGAGCAACCTGAGGAAACTGATTGCGTATGGAGGTCGTCAACACTTGCCATTTTTGGCGGAGATGAGGGCATTTTTGGTAAATGAGAAGCAGATATGGGTCAGGGTGGGAGTGTCTCCCACTTGGGTGTTGAAACAAATCTTCCAGGCAGAAAAGCGCCTAGCTGAGGAAGACGGTAAAACAAACTAAATACTGGAAATAGAACAGCTTTTTTATGTGCATCTTGAGGTTGAATCATCTGCATGAACATGATTTATGAAGGTCAGGATTGAAGGCAAGTTGATGTGTGAGAAAAACAGGCTTTTTTGAGCAAAGGTTTATTTGTGCTGCTTAGTATTACATCTTTAGGGAGCCCTGATGTCCAAAATTATGCCAAATCATTCAAATGTTTTAGAATTTAATATTTTGAACACCTTCATCTTCTGGAAGCATCACCTTAAAGAGCATAACTACCCCAAGGTTCATTATTCTTATGCACAATTTTCCTATATTTTTGAGTAACTATTTGAAAAAAGGAGACTTTAAGGTGGAAAATTTTTAGAAGCAAATTGCGGATTTATGTGATGACAAAACCTGTTTTGACAGGTCGCATCATTTGCACACATATTTATAGTAAATTTCGCGTATATCCTTGGTGTTCATTAAGAAGTTTTGAAGAAGTAAACCCGAAAAATACGTTGGTCAAACGAATTCTTTGAGATGATTACAAGTAGTTATAAGGGAAGACATCCAAGATAGAACATGTGTTATGTGGAACAATGTATCTGGAATAATAGATGTTGTAATATTTGAAGGAAAACAAGATCCATACCTGCTATATTGTATCAATCATAGTCATATGTGTGATTACAATGACCCAGAAATCAATTTTTTACTTATTAACTTATTACTTATTAATGCTAAGGACACAACCAGTAAGACTGGCTCAGATAGCTCACATATGTATTTGCCTTCATCAAAATTATCTTTTTAATCAAAAATTAAACTAAAACATAGCTTCCATTGATTTGAAGGATAAAAATACAGGTAGTCCTCCACTTATGATAACAATAGGGACCAGAATTTCTGTTGCTAAGCGAAGTGGTTGTTAATTGAACAATGCCAGATTTTACAGATTTTTTTTTGCCATGGTTGTTAAGTGAATCGCTACAGTTGCTAAGCAAACCACTGGTCATTAAGCGAAAATGGCTTCCCCATTGACTTTGCTTGATGAAAACTGTCTGGGAAAGTTGCAAATAGTGACTAGATGAATCTAGGATATTGCAACCATTGTAAACACATGCCGGTTGCAAAGTAGCTGAATATTGATCCCCTGACTGTGGGGAAGCTGTGACCGTCGTCAGGTGAGGATCTGTTGTAAATCAGTTTTTTTTCAATGCCGTTGTTACTTTGAATAGTTGCTAAATGAATCAATGTAAGTTGAGGACTACCCTTACTACAATGCTTACCGTATTTTTCAGAATGTAAGACACACCGGAGTATAAGATGCACCTTAGTCTTTGGGGAAGAAAATAGGAAAAAAAAATTCTGCCTACCAGGTATTCATCTGGCTGGTCCTTAGCCTGATCAGCTTCAGCACATTAGTTCACTCACTGGTTTTGTGGTTGGGGCTGGTTGGGGCTAAAGAAACAGCTTCAAAACACAGCTGATCGTTGGAGGGAGCAGCAATTAGAAAAGCAGGCAAAGCACGGAAGACCTTCACTCACGTTGGGGCTGAAAAACAGCTTCAAAAGCACAGCTGATCCTCGGAGGGTGCTCCAGTGACTAAGGGCATGAGAAGGCAGCAGCTGTTCTGGGTAGCCATTTTGGGCACCACGTGTGGGGTTACATTCCAAGTATAAGACGCAACCAAATTTTCAGCCTCCTTTAGGAGGGAAAAAAGTGTGTCTTATAGTCCGAAAAATACAGTAATTCTATTTCTCAAGTGCTCAATTTTGCCAGGAATTAGCTTTCAATTAGGAACAAAAATGCCTATACTGTACTGATTCTTGCTTTCCCGTTGTCAGAAGGGCCACTGTTTGCGCCGGATATCAATCATCTTACCTGGAGGTCTGCAATATAACGCAAAGTTTAAGACTTTCACTGTAAGTTCCTGTTTAGTCCATTAAAAAGGATATCGTGGTGCTCCACATATCCATGATGATGAGTATTTTCTTTTCTTTTTTCAATTAATGTTAATGTTGCCTTACTGAGAGGACACTTGAAAAACAGTTTTGATGCAGACATCTAAGAGGCCAGTCTGCATTTTGGGTTACTCAGTTATGCTCTTTTCTTTTGAAGTTCTTGTGTCTTATTACCTGAACTATACCTGTAATACTTTTTTCTTGTCTTTTGGGGAGGGGGAAGGGAAGATTGAGGGAGCTTGGCAACAGTGCTTTGCATCCCTGGATTAAAAAGAAACAGATAACTATTGATGAGAACAACCTAAACTTGGAGTCACAACAGATAATAAATACTTGGACGGCCTGACTTAACTTCCTTGTGTTCCTTCCTTTGAAACATTAATGGGTACATTAGGAATCCCTCCAAATTTTTACCTTCATTTTTTTTTAATTTGGGAAAAGCTTTGTAACCTGTTTGCTGAGAGGTGTAGACACTATCACACTCTGGATTAAAACCCATGATAAGAATGCTAAATTCTCTCGCTTGTTGTGAAAATCCAAAACGAACCAGATCATCTTTCTGAAAACTGAGAGGGCTTGTTTCTCAACTTGCCTTTTCTTCTTTGAATGTGTGATTGTTCCCATACCAACCTATTTTTTTAAAAAAAGTACTGGAATTAAACAAATATTAAATCTCACTTGTCTATCTCTCTTACACCTTCTGATTTTTAAAATGAAAGACGCCGAGTTCAAGATTGCCTTTGAAGGCCTCATTCCTTCCAGACTGCTTTTGGCAGGCTACATTTGTCCAGATGAAGCAATTTGCACACACTTACATAAACTATTTTTTTCCCCTGATGGTAGGTTACAGCAGAAGTGTTAAAGGAAATCTGTGAGCACATAGGAGTTACCGAGTTGGAAGAGATCAAAGAATTTGCCATCCTAGCCAACAAAGACAAAGGCAAGTGCACTGGGGCTAACGGTCAACTTCAATACAGTGAAATCTGCTAAATATGGCGATTCACTCTGGTGCAGCTTTCTCTTTCCCACTGACTTCTACTGCCAGGATCCTAGTTTTCTGGGGTTATATACAGTCACGTGAAAAAAGAAAGTAAACTTTCTTTGAGTTCAATGGTTTTACGTATCATTCAGGACAGACCAGTAGTAAAAATCATCTGGTCCTTAGCAGTTCTTAAAAGTAGATAAATATAACCTTAGAGGAACAATAACATACGACATGGCTTTTCCATTTTGGCTTTCTTTTTGTAAAATAAATGATGACATGGTGTAATATGTCATGTCTTGTTCATCTGAGGGTGTATTTTAAGCATTGCTAAGGACCAGCTGAGTTTTACTGATGCGTAAAATCATAGAACTCAAAGAGAGTATATATTTTTTTTCCACATTTTCCCACACTGTAATTTCTCTAAGCTTATATGTGAAGAATGTATTTATAATGATAGCCTTGATATTGACTTTAGGGCCATATGCATGTGATAGAGCAGTGACGGCTAACCTTTTCCAGGTTGAGTGCCCAAAGCATGCGGTCGAACCCCCAAAATGCAATTTGCACATGGCCCCACCACACGCCCCTGCCCCCACGCATGCTTGCGCCCCTCCCACACATACCACACCCCCACACATGCGTGTGCACCCTCCACATGCACCCCACCCCCGTGCATGTGTGTGTGGTCCCCCTGCATGCTCCCCACCCCTGTGCATGCACAGCAGAGACCCGACAACCAGCTGGCCGGCGGGAGGCATGTATGCATGCGTGGTGGAACTGAACTGGGGTGACAGCTCATGTGCCCACAGAGAGGGCACTGCGTGCCACCTCTGGCACCGCATGCCATAGGTTCGCCATCACAGTGATAGAGAATCTTGCCCTTATTTATTCAGATTATGCCTTTGTGGTGGTTTGCTCCTGTTAAAGGAGAAGATTTGCCAGTACTCCTGGATCTGGGCCAGTTTACATATTTTCAAGTAGCAACGGAGGATCTTTTTTCCTTTTTTGCATCAGTTTTTGATATAATAGCACGTTTATAATCCTTTCTAGAAATCACAGCCTGTTAATTGCCATACTTGATCATGGCAATGTACAGTATTAAGAGAATATATTATAGGTGGTGCTGGGATTGGCTTGCCATCATGATCGCCAACGTCCGATGACAGATATGGCACAAGAAAAAAAAGACCCAGGGTGCTCCCAGAGTAACTTTGTTTTTGTTGAAGCAATCTTTTGTCTCATTCATGAAATTTGATGGAGGGTCCAAATACCATCACCTTTCTCCCCTCCCCCCCACACATTTGCCTCACCCATTGTTCTCTTTCTCTCTATAGAAAATTCATTGCGGTAGGGAATATGAAAAAGCTATCAATGCCTTTTGTTTGCTGATACTAAGAGGCGTCTCTTTGAATGTAGTCATCACTGTATTAGCATTTCTAATGTTAAAATCTCATTGCTTGCTAAGGCCCATATCTTCGTTGGCAGCTCTTTTATTGCTTTTTTAAAAATAACATTTAAATTGCATCTGCTCCTTTTAAGTGTAGGTGTAGATGTCATGTTTTGCTTTCAAATCATGCCAAATATATATTTCTCCTTCTGTCATGACCATATTTTTTGGGGGGGCTTCTGTATGAAATAACTAAATTTGAAAGGAAGTTTAACTAAAAGTTTTATGAAGATAGAAAGATGTAGACCACGGGTGTCAAACTCGTGACGACACATTGCCGTCACATGACATATCGCAACATTTTTCTCAGCATGGAGCTGGGGTGTGTGTGGCCCGCGCATGACGCATCCAGCCCACAGGCCGCCAGGTTGACACCCCTGAAAGAGAAGAAAATGTTACCATCTTGGTGAAGCATGATAAGTGATGACATTGTTCAGTGAAAATTGACAGACAAGCTGGATGAGATTAATAGGTGGAACTGTATACATATTTGCTAGATTTTGCTATCAGCTTGAAGACTGTAAAATTACCACATAGTAAAGTTAAAGTAAAGGGGATAAGGTTGCCTTATATTTGGGGAAATAGGTTGTCCTTAAAATATTTGCCTTTGAGCTCAGTACATTGGATGGGGATGGTATGACCATCCTTCTTTATCCTATGCAGGCAAGATGATAAGGCCTTTGCACCAGGAGGAATATGTCCATGACTATTTATTAGAAGAAAGTTCAATAGGACTACATTTCTGCAGGATCACTTGGAAGATTCCATTGCACTTTGATAATGCGGGCTACATCAACGTCCATTATAACCAGGTATGAAAGGGAAAGTCTTGCACTGTTACCTATAAGACTGTAAAGAGCTCTTATGAGATTATGGTTAAGGCCAGGGGTGGGTTCTACTTACCTTTACTACCGGTTCGCAATGGGATCACGTGTGCGTGCTCACTTTGCTCGGTCACGCGCCTTGCTTCTGCGCATGTGCAGATCGCCAATGACGACATCCGTGGTGGTGGGTGGGGCCTCCCACCAGTTTTACTACCGGTTCTTGCGAACCGGTCTGAACCGGGGGCAACCCACCACTGGTTAAGGCCTGGACTATGACTTAGCCCTAAAAACACAGTGGGATTGAATGTGTGACAGTGATTGTTGGTTGTTGTGGGGATAAAATTAAGACAGATCTCCATATATATGCCTTCTTGAACTCCTGGAGAAGATGTGATATGATGATGATGATAATGATGCAAAGGATGGCTGTATAATTCTTATGGAATACATGACTCATGTATTGGCTAAGAATACACGATAAATTCCTATTCCCACTTTGCTGAATTTGCTGTATTTACTTATTTATTAAATATTTTTTGTTATCACAGGTTAATGTTAGGAGTTGCAATATCTGCCCAATTACAAATGTTCCTTCAATGATGCCCGCTTTAAAAATCTACTACGGAGAAGTACAAAGCAAACTCTCTTCTGGTTTATTTATTTCTAGGTCTTGCAGAATTATATGACAGGAACAATGCTGTTGCAGCACACCACCAAACTTGGGCAGCAGCTGGGCATCTTGGCTTTGCTTCAGCATTGGGCCAGGGGCTCTCCATCGGTCCCTACAAGGTGAGTCTTTCTGCAGTATTTGAATGGAGAAGTGGTGAGTTGCCCCCGGTTCTGTCCGGTTCTTGAGAACTGGTAGTAAAAATGGCGGGAGGCTTCGCCCACCCGCCCTAACGTCATATTTGGTGATCTGCGCATGTGCATTAGTGCGCATGCGAGCCAAGCAAGTGCGCTTGCACACTCCCATTGCAAACTAGTAGTAAAAGTAAGTAGAACCCACCCCTGGAATGGAGGTAGGCATATCAACTCAGAATAGGTTGTAGACTAGGTTATTTATTTATTTATATAATCTAAGAAGTGCCCCAAAAGAGAAAATTGTGTGCTTAGACTCCAAATACCTTAAGGAAATGAGTCACGGCCATGATCCTCTCTGTGTTTCCCATTAAAGCAATTCCTTACAGAAGATGAAACCTCTGTTAGCATACTCAACAGACACTTGCAACTCCCCAAATTCTGTTGCATAATTTCTCTTTCCCTCCAAAACCTAGATAGCTTTCTATTAATCCATTTTCAAAAAAGTATACATAAAATGAACAATGTACCATACGCAGAAACAAGAACCTCAGACAAGAATAGATGTATGTATAATTTAAAAACGGCCCATCTCCCTCAGAGTGACTCTAAACAGCAGTTAAACTTCCCTACCTCTGCGGAGGACTGGCACTACCGGATTGGGAATTATATTATAAAGCATCAGCACTAATTTGGATCAAAGAATGGATGGAACTCAAAAATAAAAGATTACTGAATTTGGAAGGATTTGACCTAAAACGAGGATGGCATGCATTCCTATGGGAGGGCACCGATAGACGACATGGATATTTCCAGAGGCACATGATTAGACACGCACTATATCAGATTTGACAGGGCATCAAAAAAATACACTACAATAAAATTCCGGAATGGTTGTTGACCATGGAAGCTCAGATCTACCCAAACGCCATGGACAACACCAAAATGAAAACTTACAAAGACTTGCTAAACAATCAGGGGGAACTAAGAATGAGACAAGAATTGAAGGATATGGGTACAGACATTGACTGGTGGCCATACTTACAAATAAAATCAAGATATAAGAAAGATTTGGCACAATTTGGATTCCAAAAAGGCCAATACGAATTAGATAAAATTTTACAAGGATCACAAGACAAATTGATTTAAAAAGTTTATAATTATTTACGAGGATATAAATTAGAAGAAGAGGTGGTTAAGGAAAACATGATAATTTGGGCAAAGAATTTCAGCTACAACATTGAATTAGACAATTGGGAAAAATTATGGACAATAAATTATAAATTAACAATGTCTGTACCCTATAAAGAAAATCTGTACAAAATGTTTTATAGGTGGCACCTTCCACCGGCCAGACTGGCAAGAATGTTCCCCAACACTCCCCCAACATGCTGGAAATGTAAACTTCATAAAGGAACTTATTACCACATGTGGTGGACATGCCCAGTGGCAAAACAATATTGGCAAACGATCAGAAAACAAATAGAAGAAATAACCCAACAAAGAATAGAAATGATCTGTCCCCGTCTACACACACACACAAACACAGCCAGCCGAGGGTTAAGAAAGTACTTGGCACGCACACAGGTCGTTATCTCAAACTTGGCAACAATATAAGCACCGTCTGCCAAGAGCTTTACTGCAACAGATAACATAAAATTACATACGCATTGCAAATAGTCCAGCAAAACAATATCCCTTCGGCAGCTTCAGACGTTGTTCAAATGACTAGCCAAAGTTAGTTTTTGTTCATCACGGAGTTTTACCAGCCACCACCCTCTCTTATATAGTCTCTGGGGTGTGGTCCAGTGACTCAGTTCTAATCCCTAGCACGCCTCCTTAACTGCTGCAACCGTTTATCACGCCTTCGTTGGCGTGCATCCAGGAATGACGGCTCTCCTTCCTCGCCCTCATCAGAGACACCTGGCTCCTGGCTAATCTCCTCTCCCTCGGCCGGTACCTGAGACAGTGCCAGAGGGGAGGGGCCTGGAGAGGGAGGCCTGGCTGACTCCTCTCCCTCATGTTCGGAGCCTTCTTCCTCCGATGAGAAAGGCTCAGAGGGCGGGGCCACAACAAGAAATGAGGCCAGAAACCTTTCTATTAGGTATAATAAATGGACAATATGAAAAGGAAATCAAATACTTAATCATTCACATAACAGCAGCACGAATAATTTTTGCACAAAATTGGAAAAGTAGTGACATACCAATGGAAGATAGAGTAATTAGCAAAATCATGGAATGTGCAGAAATGGACAGACTCACAAAGGAATTACAAAATAGAGAAAAACATGATTACTATCTAGTATGGGAAAAGTGGTACACCTGGTTGGAAGGCAGAAAAGGGAAAAATTAGGAAGTAAGTGGAGTGACCCAATACAGAAATAGTAATATAAACTACGAACACAGGTTAACAATGAACCACCAAGATAGACATAAGAGATAGACTAAATAATGAGGAGTCAAAAGCACAAATAAGAACATACAGTACAGTTACGATAAACTTGATATATATTTGAATTTTTGTTTATATGTTTACATGTTTTGTATGTTTTGTCGTGATTTGTTTTGTTTAGTTTGTACTTTCAAATAAAAATTTAAAAAAAAAACTTCCCTACCTCTGCATAGGATCCTGATTCTCCATCCAGATCAGTCCTCCCATACCTACCGTATTTACTCATAGAGTTGCAAATTGCACACTAACAGTTAGCATTCATGTCGTTGGCCGTGTGTTTTTTTTTCTAGCTCAATTTGACAGTAATGTCAAGAAGTCCTGTGTAATTTCTTCCCCACACATGGAAGGGTTTTTCTGAATACTGTCTAATTTCAGTTCATGGTCAAGTCCATATTTTTTATTTGTCTAAATAGAGAGGAACTGAAGAATTACATCCCTGTTTCAAACATCCACATCAGCCTAGACATTGTTGAAATTGCCATGGCTTATCAACTGGAGACAATAGAACCACTTCAGCCGCTGCAGGCACAAATACGTTTTATTGGTGAGTTCAACAGCTGCATTTGATCGACATCTTAGCGTTGGTTCTGGTTTTATGCTGCTACCTGAAATGTTTTGAATGTGGTAGCATGGGATTTGAAGGGAATGTTTTTTTATACCTATGGTACTTTCCTCCAAAGTTGTATGAACATTTTATATCTACATGCATTTTATAATTATCCTCAATAGGCAAAATTTTGGCATGGCTTTATTGCTATATCATCTTATTACTATATGCATATAAATTGTATATTGTTGCCAAAGCTGAGTATACGTAGATGAACTCTAAGGATGATTTCAGTTTGCAAGTGCTGTGTTTCTCCCACTCATTACAGGTAGTCCTTGACTTATAACAGTTCATTTAGCGACCATTCAAAGTTACAACAGCACTGAAAAAAGTGACTTATGTCCATTTTTCACACTTATGACCATTGCAGCATCCCCATGGTCACAGGATCAAAATTCAGACACTTAGCAACTGACTCCTATTTATGACGGTTGCAGTGTCCCATGGTCCTGTGATCCCCTTTTGTGACCTTTTGACAGGCAAAGTCAATGGAGAAGTCAGATTCATTTAACAACCTTGTTACTAACTTAACAATTGCAGTGATTCACTTAACAACTGTGGCAAGAAAGGTCGTAAAATAGGGCAAAACTCACTTAAATGTTTTGCTTAGCAACAGAAATTTTGGGCTCAGTTGTGGTCATAAGTTGAGGACTTACCTCTATATGGGGCAAGTTGCGGGTAGTTCTCTATTTTAAATCTATTCAAGACATTATTACATAAGCTTTCCACATCTACTTGCACAGCCAACCAACGTGAGTAAACCCATTTTCTCCAAGCATATAGCAACAATTGTGGTCTGTTTAGTCTGTGAAGGGGCCCTTCACAATGTATAAATATTCATTTTTAGATATAGGCCAGAGGCAAGGACTATGTGGATCAACAAGAGAGTAAGGAAAAATGCTTTGACAGAGATATACAAGCTCCATTGCCATGGCAACAAGAGGGTAAAAAATGTTTTAAGTTCAGAACAGCCAGATAACACTTAGAAGCAGTTCACAGACATCTTCCTAAATCATTGAACTATAAGAAGAGAAGTGGTACATCACAGGCTTACAAGCTTCTGTTACAATCTCGACAAAAGTCATTTTGGCCCTTCGGTGGAGTCGATATCTTGATTTGGTACACCTAGTGGAGCTAACAAAAGCACAGAAATGGTCCCTCAGAACGAAATGCAAACGTCCTTAGCATCATGAAAAACAGATGCAGTCTCTCCTGTTGCTCTCGTGTAAATAGAACCTTTCCCAACTGTGCTGCAATTACCCGGTTGGGATGATTTGCAGGCAGGGAATCGTATGGCAATAGCTGTCCAGCCGCAACTGCAAGCATTGTTGGGTATGCAAAGGCTTTGGGTCTGGAGGTTTGGGCAGCTTTGAGAGTGCCACGGCTTCAATGGCTTGGCTTCGAGCCACATTCTTGCTTTAGCAGAGGTGGCAACTTGCCCTGGAAAACATGCACAGCTGGTGTGGGTTTTGCCTATGAGTCTGACATATTACACTCCTATCTTGTTTCTCTTCTTGCAGAACACATGATTCAGCTGCCGCTCTTTGGCTATAATGTTTTCTCTGCGGAGTGGATCAGTGCCCCAGATATCCCTTCACCTTGCATGGTAGGAGTGAACCAGGAGGAGATTGTTGCAATGAGCAGGGAAACCCAGGTAGGGTTATAACAGAAATATCACAATGGATGTCTATGGAGATTCTCAGCCATCCAGACTGAGAATGGTTGTCCCAAGGGGGCTTTTTTTCAAGAGGCAACTGGGCTTTCTGGTTTTGCTTCTCATCCAAGAAGCTTCTTCAGCTCTGAGTGGATGGTAGGGAATGGAAGGATTTATACCGGGGTGAAATCCAGCAGGTTCTGACAGGTTTTGGAGAACCGGTAGCGGAATTTTTGAGTAATTCGGAGAATCGGTAGCGGAAATTTTGAGTAGTTCTGGAGAACCAGCAAATACCACCTCTGGCTGGCCCCAGAGTGGGGAGGGAATGGGGATTTTGCAGTATCCTTCTCCTGACATGCCCACCAAGCCACATCACACCCAACAAGCCACACCCACAGAACCGGTAGTAAAAAAAAATTGGATTTCACCACTGATTTATACTCCTTGCAGACAGCTGGTCATTTTCATTTTTTTATCGAGTCGTTAAAGTCACCTGGAGGTTTATCTGTGTCATGTCTGCAAGGAGTATAAATCCTTCCCTTCCCCACCATCCAGTCAGAGCTGAAGAAGCTTCTTGGATGAGAAGCGAAACGTCTTCAAAGAAAAACCAGAAAGTCCAGTTGCCTCTTGAAAAAAAAAGCATCTTTGGGACTGTCACAATGGATGAAACACAGGAACTTAGATAAATAAGATACCATTCAGGTCAGGACATGGCCTCCCAGCTCTTTCAAGGATACCAATCTTTCCTTGGCCTGTAATTTGTCAGAAGATAATTTTATTCTTTTGCTGAAACACATTCCCCACAAAATTTGGTTAGTACCCAGCCATGCTGAGATTTTGAAAGCCAATAGCTATTTCACGAAATTTTGCTGGCTGACAAGGTGGATCTCTTTAAGGTGGCTCTCTTTTAAGTGTATGTTAATGCTGCCTGGTATGTGAAGAAGATACTGTATTGTTGGCGTAATGGTTTGTTCTTTTTTTCTTAACCTTGTTTGTATGCTAGCCACTCAGGGCTGGTAACAACTGGAGCAGCTTATGAGCCTAATAAAACCACTTATAGTTTTATAGCAAATCTTTCATACCAACATTGCCAAAACACAACTCTAATCTGTAGCAGTCTGTGTTCACAGTATTTGAATGCTGTTGGTCACTTTCAGTGGAACTTTATGTATTTTAATCCACACACATACAGAACTGGGCAACTAACATGCCTGGGATTTACTTTTAAAAATCATTCACAAAATTTCTTATTGACCTGTAACGATGGCCTTTGTTGAGAACATTGCCCCTTAATGGGAGCCAACTGAAAGTGAAATGGAATACTAAAGTACGGAAAAGATGACTGATTCTGCCACGTCCACCATGCCGGTCTTTCCTCATGTGCAGAGCAATCAGATCGTCATTCCACTGAACCAGATACTACGGATGAAATCCTTACGTCCAACCAGTGCTGCTGGCCTTCCAGGCATAGAAATCAACTATGGCACAATAGAAAATCCCAAGACTATCTGCTTTGAATTGAAACAGGTATGTTACTGTGCCATGTCTTGATGGAAATATTCTGAATGTTTATTGCACTATCATCTTTTCTTGTTTTTAACCAAAGCTAGCAGAGCATTGATCAATACAGGTAGCAACTGTGGCTTTGCAGTGTAAAAATAAACCAACCCTGTGTCAGGGCTCCAAGTAACAGACCCAATGCAATCAAAACTCCGGAGGCCAAGGTGCTCCTCGAAGTCTAAATTTATTAGGCATGTCATATTGGCACATCTGGTGGAAACCAGACTCTGAAGGCCCCGAGGTTTTCACCACCCAAATTAAAATCAAAGTTCTTTCTCCCAGTACACATGTCCATCACATGGTCCAACCAAGGGGTGAAATCCAGCTGGTTCTATCTGGCTGGGGCAAACCGGTAGTGGCGGCTGTGGGAGGCTCCGCCCATCCGTGCGGATGTCATGACGTCACTTTTTTGTGACATTTTAAGCCTCTGCACATGTGCAGAAGGTTTTGTGAATGCATAGAGGACGGCGCGCGTGAGTGCACATTGGCGAACCGGTAAGGAAGGCAAGTAAATTTCACCCCTGGTCCAACCAGGTCACAGTCCTAACTCCAGCTGGTTTCAGTCCACGCCTTCCCCCACCTAATGAGAACATCCTTGGTTCCAAGGAGAAAGAATTTTATTTTGGCTACAAGACCGCAGCTATCTCTATTCCCCCCTCCTATTCCCACAGCTCCAACTGGCTTTGGTGTGGCAGCCCTGAAGACGCTCCAAAATGGCTTCAGAGTTGACACCCTGGTTTGCAACATCAGCTTTCAGTGTATATGTTTGGGGGAAATGGGGTTATTCTAGCTTTAAGAAAAAGGGAGAATACCTTGCCTACCAATAGCCTTTTTTGTTTGTTTGTTTGCTTGTTTGCCTCAATGATTTGTGGCAGTGGTGAAATCCAATTTTTTTTACTACCGGTTCTGTGGGCGTGGCTTGGTGGGTGTGGTATGGCTTGGTGGGCATGTCAGGGGAAGGATACTGCAAAATCCCGATTCCCACCCCATTCTGGGGCCAGCCAGAGGCGGTATTTGCCAGTTCTCTGAACTGCTCAAAATTTCTGCTACCGGTTCTCCAGAACCTGTTAGAACCTAATGGATTTCACCTGATTTATGGTCTAGACCAAGCAAAAAGCAGATGATGGACTTAGGAGAGTAGATAAACATATAGGATCCTGTTAAATTTAATTGACCATTTGTTCTCCTTTTTTGTACATGTTTTATTGTTATAGTTGCTAGGTTTGATTGTATGTTTCTGTTTTGTTTCATTTTGTTTGTTTTCGTTTTATATTTTATTTTCTCTAATAAAACAATAAATCTCTCTTTAAAAAAAAGTAGATAAAATTATGGCTCTAAAGCACTCAAATGACTTCTTTATGAAGAAAGAACATTATGTTATCCTAAAAGTTAATATGCTGTGTTTGTACATGCACAAAGAGAGTTATATGGAAGGTTTGATAGGAGTTATTTTTGAGAGTTTCCTTTGGAAGGAGAAAGTGCACATCTGAAAGGGAAAAAAAAACCATTTCACACTGCTTTCTCTTTTGACAGGCTAAAACATTATACCATTTAATTACAATCATCGGTGGGGAATCAGATTCCCAGGCCTAGTGACAACCAAGAGAAGTTGGCTGCAATATCTTTTCCCGGTACTTGAAAAATACTCATACTCTTTTGATGTGTCTACTTGCCAAGTGTTTTCTCCCAAGTCAATGTGAGCTATGGAAACGTTATTCTTTTGAACCACCGTTCACTATTCTATCATCGTTCCTGCATCACTTCCAGCCCTTAAACTTGCAGACAGCAAAAGGAGCTTCTTGACTTCAAGCCATACAAAAATATGCCATAGCTATTTTGGAGTATCTTTGGGTGGATCACCTTACCCAGGGGTGTGAAACTCAAGGCCCGGGGACCGGATCCGGACCACGGGGTGCTTAGATCTGGCCCGTAGGCCGGCCTGGAAACAGTGAAGGATCAGCCTGCGGTGCCTCTGCCAGCCAAAATGGAGCTCGGGAGGGCCACATGCAGCCTTACTAGGCCCTGTTTTTGGTCTGGATGGCCTCCTGCAGCCCTCTGCCACCGAAAATGGAGTTTGGTGGGAGCCGTGCACAGCCTCCCTGAGCTCTGTTTTCACTGGCAGAGGACTGCAGACCATCTAGGTTGAAAATGGGGCCCAGGGGGGGCACATCTGCCCCCCCCAGCCCCATCTTTGCTGGCAGAGGTCTAGCAAAACAAACTAAAAGCAAAACAAAACAAAAGGAGAAATGTTTCGCCCTTTGCATTTGCGCATCCAAGAAGGGACAGGAAAGGAGAAAGGGAAAGACGAAAGGCAAAGAAAAAGAAAGGAAGATGAGAAGAGAGCAAGGAAGGAAAGAGGGTAAAGTAGGACGTAAAGTGAAATTTGGATATAAGAGTGAAATGATACGGGGTTGGCTTGGATGATCTCTAAAGGTCCCTTGACTTGTTATTGTAAGAGACAGTTGCTGAGTTCAAAAAGTCAAACCACGGACTTAGTTAACTTTCTCCTTCCATGTCAAAATGCAGAACTAAAAACCAGCATGAATCAGCCTTTCTGCCCAGCAACAAGGGGCCTAGACATTAGGACTGATTTCACATATTTCCGTGTTTTGCTGCTTTAGGAGACTATAAGAATGTGTGTCTTAAACAGAACTTTGTTCAGATGTTAGATGATTATATTTCTGTCTGAACCTTTTGGCCAAAATAAAGCTTCTCTTGATTTTGAAATCCGAGTCCTTTGATTTTCTGCAACAAGGGGAAGGAAGAAGAAAGGAGGAAGCGGGAAGGAAAAAGATGAAGGAAGGGAGGAAGGAAGGAAGAGAAGTCCTGTCTTAGCACTTGGCCACCAGCAGACTGCAAGGCTCCTTTGGAGGACAAGGGTTTGGCACTCTCCCTGTTCTCGCCTTCCTCTGCTGGAGACAATGGATCTTCCCAGACCAGCCCGGGCCATCACAGGTGCCCCCAACACAAGTGATGTTGAGCTGGCCACTCCCACCTGGCCATGCCCGCTGCAGTCAAACATAATATGGCTCTCATGTGACCCTCAATGAAATCAAATTTGATATCTCGGCTTAGTGAATGACCAGGCAAGGTTTTCACCAAGTTCAACAGCTGTTTTGTGTAGCCAGGACAAATAGACATTAAACCTAGCCTCCCTATTTCTTAAACACTTTATTTAACTTATTAATTTTTAAGTCAGAGTCTTCCCTCAATTATGGAACTATACAATAGTTTGGTGACTTTCAATATTTCAGAGTCATTTTGGATTAAAAAAAATTGATCTGAGACTTGAATTTAGCTTATAGAACAAGACGACAAAATTTTGAATTGTAAAACTCTTTTTTGGGGGAGGCTAAACTGCTTTTTTTTAAAGGATTAAAACTTACATTTGAAGAATCTGTACTTGTGATATTGAAGCTGCATTCTTTTCCTTTCTGATATTAGAATTTTCACTTAACTCATTGCTGATTGGTTTGGATCTATCAATGAATGTAAATTGTATCTGCCCCCTCCCCTTTTCTCTGAGAAATCATAATTTGCAATTATTCTCTTGGACACTTGAGTGTGCTATTTAATATGATGGGGAAAAAAGAAACCACACCAAATTCTTAAAGACGTTAGTTCCTAGAAGCTATGCTTGAGTGAACTCAAAAATTACTGGATAATAAATTATATGATTCTTGTGGAACATGAACAAATAAAAGATAAAATAGAAATTAAAATTAAGGAAAGACACCTTATAAATAGATTTTAAGTGATTGTTATCTACAGAAAGAAAAAAAATACAGGAACAAGTTTCTTATGATCATTTTCATTTGATTTAAGATTAAAAGCTGGAAACTTAAATACTGTAACTATTTTGAAAGAAACCGCTACGTGGGGTTTGAGAAAAAGAGGGGAGGAAACATTTTATTTTACTTGATGTATACCAAACAGACTGTATTTCATAGATCAAATGGGAACTATATTTTGTCCAAGGGTTATTTATTTTCATACTAGAAATATATTTTGATGAGAATTTAAGAGAAACAGAAGGAAATGCATATTTAACAACAGTCTGGAGATTATGGATAAGGGATTGGAGAAAATAGGAGGTATATGAAAGGGAAAATATGTTACATATAAATTATAAGATTTTTTTGGTCATATTATAATGAAGGTTGATTACAGATTTGTAACAAGATGGCCTACAATTTTTATTGATTATGCTGAGTAAATTATTATTTGAAGAAATTTTAAGTTAATAAAAGAACTATAAAAGGAAAATAAGGGTGTGCATACATATATTTGATAGAGTTTAGATGAGAAAATAGGTATTAGCAGAGATCTATGTATTAATGATGGCTATTTTATACTCACGGTATATTTTTAAATTGTTAGTTAAGATTAAACTTCTAAAACTGGGGTATAATATTAATTTTGATTGTTGGTGGGTATGTGAATTTAAGGAATGAAGTTTATGATGAAGTTGTGATTTATATAAGAATGTAAAGATGGATGTGTAATTGAGATTAGGAACTTTTGTTATGATGAATAGAATGGAGGAACTATGGGAATTTTTAAAGGATTATATTATGCACAGAGATGAAACAAAGATAAAAATTGGTAATGAAAAAGTGGATTTGTAAAAATGAATTGAGGAGAGCTGCTAAAATTGAATATTCTGTTTAAGATTTTGTTTTGGTTTATTTTTAAACTAGAAATTATATTTAAAATGTTATTTGATAACGATGAATAAGCATTTTTGAATTAGTCATTGGATAATTGGATTGATTGTAGATTGTACATGCTATTAAACTTAGATATTGGCTATGCTATGTTTAATTTAATTTATAATAAGAGATTATCTAGTTATATATTTGTATCTGTACTGAAGAAAATTAGAAGTCTTTTTAAATATATATTGCTTATCCCTCCACCCTCTCTTCCCCCCACTTCTTAACTTTCCCCCTTTTGAATCCCTTCTCCCATTTTTTGTTATTTTGTATTTTATTTTCTCTTGAAATGTAATAAAGTTGTTTAAAAAAAACCCAAACCACTAGGGTGCTCAGTGTCTCTCATACATACATGTATGCAAACATAATTCTGCCTTTGGATGATTTAAAAAATCTCCACATATTATCATCGCCACCCCTACGTTTAAAGACAATAATGGTCTTTGTCAAAATATCTTTTTAGTTTAGAAAATATGGGAAATGATAGAGGTATAAAATTGCACACACTTTATATAAAACAAGAAGAGACATTTTTTCTCTCCCTCATTCCAGAAGAAACCAGGATCCTGCAACTGAATGAGAGGAGATTTAAAATCAAAGATCTATGTCTCCCTATCTCTACTTAGGATCTTAATCTGGCTTTGAACTTTTGACATCTTTTTGTTGCTGTTTGCTAGTTTCATTTAATCAGAAAGTTTTTGCAAACAAACAAGAAAGGAATCTGCATTTCTTAAACTATGCATAACAATATTATTAATCCTTGGATAATCAAGGGCATCTTCACATCATTACAATTTTTATTCCTTGATTCTTCAAAAGCAGTTTAAAGTTAACTAATGGACTTCACTGCCACCAACTTCAAAACATAGACTAGCACAAGCCACTCAGGTCTTCCATCCAGCTGTTCTACAGGAGGGCATGAAAAACAACGCAGAGTTAGTGGTCCCGAATCCATATTTTCAGTTCCTGGTAGTTGCTCAGGGCTTACAGAACAGCCATTGCTGTGAGCAGATGCAAAGTTTCCAAGGCACCAGCTGTCAATTGTTTTAAGAACATTTGCTGAAATGATACCACCACTCTACAGCAGCTGAATCTCTGCAAAGGGGAAATGGGAGAAGCTGGCTTAAATTTAGAAGGGAGAGGAAAGCCAGTTCCCCAGTAATAGGCTACTTGTTTATGGAAACTGCAAAAGAACATAATTTTCAGTGGTTCTCAAGTGCACAGTTAAAAGAAAGGTTTAATATGGATAAAAAGAGTATCTGAACTGAAAAGCAAAAAACAATTTCAAATGGAATTATGTAAAATGGTGAACATGTAATAACAAAAATGTATAAACTTTTATTAAGATTTGAAACAGAAGAACAGATTAAAGACTGCATGACAAAATGGACTATTAGCTTTGGATATAACTGAGATTAACACTTGGGAGAAACGGTGGGTAATTTATTACATTGTATAATTTAAGAGAATTTTTTAATAAAATGAAGTATTGCTGGTATATGACACCAGATAAATTTTTTAAAATGTATAAAGACATTTCAAACCAGTGCTGGAAATGTAAAACGTATGAGGGAACATTTTATCATGGTGGACTTGTGAAAAAGCTAAGAAATTTTGGATACAAATTCACACCTGATACAAAAGATTTAAAGACTAACATTGCAAAGAAACTATACTTTTTATTGAGACTTGAGGACAATGAATGAGAAAAGATTCACAATAAACTGATTTTGTATTTCTTTTTCATTTCTTGTACTTTTTTCTTTCTGTTCCTTTGTTTCCTTTTTTCCCTTTTTGATTAGCCTTTTATTCTATGTAAAAATTTGATATAAACAAATGATCAAATCATTCTTCCCACCTGCATATTCGGTCGGTGTTCAGGGTTGCAAGAGGGAAAGTTTGTTTGTGTCATTTAAGATACACTGCAGTCAGAAATAAATCAGCTCAGCTG